TTTGGAAGAGCAAAATTCAATCCTCTTTCCAATAAAGGTACTACACTATCCTCCAGACATGTATTAGATATTTATATACACATTTTTAGTGTGCTTAGCCTCGTACTTGGATTCTGTTGAATAACTAGTATTTATTCATTCCCACTTTTCAGTATATGTAAGATAGCTCATATTTTCTTGTGTTACTTCTATTGAGTATCAGTTCCGAGGGACATCCAGGTCAATTTGCCCAATCCTTGATCTCAGAATTCCATGTCCGTTAATCGTTGGCTTCTGTTGATCATGCTCCATACAATTACGATCTTCTTCAGTCTGTATTTATGACGAAATTAGAAGTAGGGTGCTACTCCGGCCATTGCTATTCCTGGGCCATATTCTATTGACTGTCCCATTCGCGTAAATGATTTCAACATTAAAGATAAACGCCTCTTCTACTTCCAACCTAGCTTATAAACTTAAGGAAATCATCCTATTTTTCTCTTGTATACAATCAAAGTGCTAGGTAGTCATCCACGTACCGCAGCGGTGGCGTCTTGAGATCATAGTCTGATTTATTCTTGTATACAATTGCCAAGGGATGAGCGTGATTCCATAGGAAATTCAAATATTTTCTCATGTATTGCCGTTGAATGTGAGGTTTATTAGCCGTGTTGACGAATGTCTAACGATCCCCTGCTTGATCTAAGGTGTCGTATAAGGCCATTAGCTCATTTCCTACAGAAATGTTTTTATGCACAAATAGTAGCTCAAAATTTACAAATAATTCTGTCATCTGGTTCCGTGGTTCATCATTTGAGAAAATTCATATGAATGTTTCACTATCTGGTAACCTGCAGTCTTATTTCCTAACCTTCAAACACATGCACGTTTGTGTTGCTTAATACCTGTCGACCATCAGCCTTAGTGGGTCCCCTTTGTGTATTTTTGGTCATATGTAGGCTTCTCGTAGTCGTCCATATTTTTTAATTTGTTAATCTGTTGCCCATCCATTGGTCTCTCCATTCCTATGTATATCTTTTAGCATGTCATGTGTGCCATTGATTTTCAAAGTTTGATCATTTAGCACGACACGCAGTCTTATCAGCCTACTTTCCGGCTTCTTGGTGTATTGCTTCCTACTTATTCCGACTCGAAGACTAATGAGGGCTGGTTTGACCTTGTTTTCGCAGCTTGGTCGGAGCGTCAGGAAGAGCTTGTGGAAGGAACCTGCGTCTACTGCCAAGGTATTCGTGATTTATGGCTTCAGACCATTGACTTGGTACATTCCCAAGCGTCTCGCGGCACCGTCAGTGAGAAGCGCAAAGTTACAACTTATCAGTAAAAAGTGAAGGCCAATTTTCTGTCCAAATGCTGTGGCATCACTCCTCGCCCCTATTTTTCGAGATACATTCTAATGCTTCATATCTTTCTTTCAACCTCGCTTCATACGGCATATGCCTATTCACAACATTTTGTGTTCATTTCCTCCAATTTCGATACAAGTGGGTTTACTGGAACTTAATCATCTCCACCACCAATACCAGGTGCTGTTTACAGGGCTCCTGAAAATTGATCACTTCTTACTTTGGTAGGTTGTAACTCTGCGCTAACGATGGCGCCTCATTGAAAATACCGGCAAAACATTTGGGGATGTATCAAGTCAGTTGTCCGAAGCCGGAAATCACAAATACTATTGTAGATGCCACAGAAATAGGTGCGTTTCACCAGGTCTCTCTGACGCTCCAACCACATTGCGAAAACGAAGTCGAACAAAAATACTAGTAAGCCAAAGGAGATTGCGTCCAAACAGGCGACAATCTTGGCCTTCATATCTACGATCTGGAGGACTAATTTTTCATTCGTTTGTAGGATCCTTCGTGCCCATGTTAATATGTTCCTGTTTGTTAGTTCCTAATATGTCGAGATTCTTGGAATAATTTCCTGTTTTGTTTACCCAGGGGACTTCCTGTAGATATTGATGACCTTTACAAGGATGTCTTGTAGAACGTTTATTTTATTTAGAAGAAAAAAATTCGTCCCTTCATGATTGTAGGGGATTTGGGATCAATATCATTCGGGAATAAATTCATTACTATTTCGATCGCCATATCAGTTCGGAAAGTAGATCAACTGGGCCCCCTGGTTTAACTCACGCTGTCTGAACCTCATACCCAAGCACTTTTTGTCATCTCTAAGTCCGAGATCCTCCCAAATCTATTGTCGGCCAAAATCTGGAGCTTTTGAAAACCGTCTGGATTCAGAATCCCGCATTGACATTGAATTATTATGTATAAACGTAAATTACCTATAACAGCTGTTTGAGCCTGCTTTCGCAACTTGGTCATATTGGTATGAAGACCTAGATGGACACACCTTGTCCGGAGGCCATAGTATTTGTGTTGATTTCCAGTTGGACCGTGGACTTGGTTAGTCACCAAGGCTATAGGATAGGTAAATCCCCCGGGACCTGAGGAAAGATACAACTATTTAGCAGACATTTCGTCAAAGGGTCGACTTCACTTGTCTCTGACGAATTGTAGTGTGATGCTAAGATTGGCAAGTAACGATGCCGGCGAGACGTCTGACAATGTACCACGTCCACGATCCGACAGGAAATTATCGTGCATATTATGGACTCCTGACAAGGTCTGTTCCACCAGGTCTTCCTGCCAATATGACTAAATTGCGAAAATAACGACTATAGATCGAAAGGACACTGCGACCAAAATAGAGGTCACCTTGGCCTTCGTGTCTATCTTTAAATTACTTATTCTCATTATTATAAGTTACTCATAGCCTCTTAAGAGAGACTTGTTCAAGAATTTCGTTAACCATGATTCAATGATAATGCCTCAGTAGCCGACTATCCGTACCTTAGAAGTGACTTTTGATCACGAGGGATTGATCATAGAAGAAAGCTAGGAATCCTGACAAAACCCGAGCTATAGATGGCAATAACTGTATACGAGATAGTAAACCAAAATTTGTACAGACGTAAAATGTATTCAATCATATATGCAAAAGAAACGAACTCAAATGGAGCTTAACAGGTAGAGCGAAAACAAATAAAATTAATTATTTTGTATCATTGATTCGTGCCGATCTCCAGCGATTAGAGGAAGTCCTCTAGATTCAGCTCAAGTGCGGAGCAAGGCAAATAAAGGTCGAAATTTCGCAGAACTTCAGGATGCAATACACCGAAATGGCCAACAACCAAGGGCGCAGGCTTAGTTGGTAGGGAAGATAAATCCGAGTTTTCGGTCTGCCGACAGAGCAAGATTCGCGCACAGCGACCTTCAAAGAAGCTGACATCTTAAGGAACAAAAAATATAAGGTAAGGGATGGGGGATGCAGTACCAAGTTAAATTCATATTAGGGGGTCAAAAATCCCTAGATTGACCAACTGCTTAGCATTCAGGACAGGCTCATTATTGAGATTCAGCTAGACCTGGACTAGAATAGAGAAGCACAACAAAATTCTGGACTTTTCCAAGCCTAGCACCATCCTAACAGCATGTACTCTGAGATGCTACTTTTGTAAATCGCGAAAAGAGTTTAAAACCAGTCAATTTTATGCTGTGCTGATAAATCAATAAAGTTAGCTGAGTGGTAATAGGGGTATATGAAATTAGGAAAAAGTTCAAATCAGTCCGAAGCAATGAAATCAAAATCTGTTTCCGTTTATTTTTTGATTAAAATCTCTGCATTTTAGTAAAAATTGAATCAAATTGTACTTTTAGTTAGTAGTGAAATCGTTTAGGAAAAAAATTGCTCAAACGATATCTTCTAGTGGACAATTATGAATTTAGAAATATTAATTAAATCTGCACACAAGAAGTAGGCAGAGCTGCTGGAAGGAAATCCTTGGGAATAAACTGAATCATGTCCAGCATTGTCATAAAACCATAGTTTTAGGGTCAATCTCTCTAAAGAAGCAAAAAGTTGAAGTCCATTTCGAAGTGTCACTTTGCATATTAAAAAAATAATCACCTATATTTAATCATACCTTGAGTGGGCTCTAGAAAATAGACAGTCCGTTCCAGAGATATGGCAGAGGCACCAATTGACTTTTTATCTTTGACTAGGTCGGCGGAGGGGTAAACCTCGAGGACCTGCATCAGCCTGTCGAGAAGGCCGTGGATGATCTCGAAGCCAGATGACTTGTTGTAGTAGACGGCGCATACTTGGCGACAATTCACGGCGCCCACATCTTGGTAGACAGCATCGTATTGTAAATAATGAAACGTAAAGGAAAGCATGAGATGGGTCCGAGACAGAAAAGAGACGAGATTCATAATGATGCTATCAGGCGAATCTAGCGAATATGAGCAAAATACGAGCATTACTCTTCTCAAGATCAACCCAGTCAAAGAGAAAGGAATACAAGAGCTAGAGAAACGGCAGCACACATATTTTTTAGAAGTTATTTACGTTGTTTTCGCAACTTGGTCATATTGACAGGAAGACCTAGAGTAACGCACCTTTTCCGGAGTCCATAGTATACACTATAATTTCCAGATTTAGACCGTGGACTTGGTACATTCACAGACGTTTTCCTGGGATCGTCAGTGAGGCTTGGCATTCTTAGCACCACACTACAACTCGTCAGAGACAAATGAAGTTGATCCTTTGACTAAATGTGTGCTAAACAGTTGTGGTATCTCTCCTGTCCTGGGCTATTCACCTAACCTATATCCTCGTATCTCCTCTTCGATATCACAATTTTCTTCTAGTTTATCTAGACTTATTTGAAATCTATTCAACTGGTTGACTTCCTCATCACTCCCATTGTGCCGAGAGTGATGATCCAACGTTGCGGTTTAATCCACAATCCTCTCTCTTCGGGTTCTATCAGAGTCCCCTCTTGCTCCGTAGGATCCTTTCCTTATCAGTGATTTCACGCCATCGCTACTACCGTAACCCTGCTACTTAAGGCGTTATTTTCTACACTCTGCATCAAGCCTTTGGTAGCACGTAAGCACCAGCATCATTGAACAAGCTCCTAAAGTCTCGATTCTCAATTGGCATGGCAAGAAAATTTGACGTTACATATTCCCTTATTGCTGTGCAGAATGTGCACTGAGTAAATCTTGTGGTTAAGCCTTTACTTCATGAACCACGTATATGAGCAAGCTTATCTACCAATAGACAAATAAAAATAGCCACTACCATTTCTCTCGCTCTTCTATGACATTCTATCGCGTGCCAACTCCCAAATATGATGGTTTAACTTGATTTTAATAGGCTCACTGTAAACATCTTCTCTTGGTTTCCGATTGTTCCTCACTGATGACAGTGCTCACGCGGTACCTAGATGTTACTTTGCCCTTAGGCTATATGGAAGAGAAAAACTATAAAAGTTTCTGAAATGTGAAAACCATATGGATGAAAAAATTCAATTCACAATGGAAGTAGAGGAAGGCAAGTGGTTACCGTTCCTGGACGTTAAAGTGATTCGTTCTAATGGAACGTTGAAAAAGAAATTGTTCAGAAAGAAGTCCTATGCTGGGATAATACTCAATTTCCAGTCCCATCACAATTGGACTAATGAGGAGCGTGATCATCAGGAGCCTACGCTTGACGGATGTAGAATTCTGGGAAGAGGAGCTGGAGAAATTGAATAGGATCTTCCTCTGTAATGGCTACCCAAGTGAAGTGATACAAAAAAACATACGGGCCGTGAAAAGCCGATGGCAGAACGGGGACTATGAAGGAACGATTAAAGATTCACAAAAGTGCATATGCCTGCCTTCCTGCGAACTAACTCAAAAAT